ATGCGATTAATAACTAACTCGTCACTCTGTGCGTTCGTTCTATGGATCGTTACGTTAATTCTTGATCTATTTTCATCCATTCTGTTTATACATAGAAACTTTCTAGGAATTACAATTCATAAATTCCATTTCTTGTCTGTTTGGCTAATGCTGAATTAGAAGGGGGACACACACCTCAAAATTATAGATAACATAACATATAGAAAACCATGCAAGAGGCCCATGTTGTAAATTTTGAATTTACCGGTGGCAGTAGATACAAAATTTACAACATGACAACTAGATGTCATGTTGTGAATTTTGTATTTACTGCCACCCGGTAAATTTAAAATTTGCAACATGGCACCCAAGTGCCTTAACCGTCACCCAAGTATAATACAACTCTGTTAAGGATCCACAGAATAGCAATTTAATAGTTATAATAAAGCACAAATAAGCTGTTAGAGGCAGATACGGTGCTCAAAAAAAGAGTAATATGACAAAGAAGGATTAACAAACTACTTTGTCTGGTAACATGCAACAACTCTGAGGGTAAACTTTATTGGCTGTGCTATTGTCATTAGCATAAATCTACCTATAACAATAGAATGCTTTAGTATAACACTGAAGAATACTCTTAGTGCACTGGAACTTTGGTGTGAAATGGCTATTGAAATTCCACCCCTCCAAAACTAAAGCAATGGTTTTTAATACATCTATATGTACCAGGAAAAGCATATAATATCCTAATATTCAGTCCCAAAAATGTCAATTAGAATTTTTTTCTGAGGTATAAACACCTAATTAAGAGTATTGTTTTCACACGACGCTAGTTGGTCAGCACATATTGAAAGTTTACAGGTTTATACCAGCGACTTCCTTATAACCAAGATTTACTGTAATATTGTAATAATAATACTGTAAAAATGTAATACTGTAATAATGTAATGCTGTAATAATGTAGCTTCCAAAGATTTATTTTGAAACAGGGTGGGAAGGACTTGGTTGTAGAAGATAAACAACAAGATTAAGAACAATGTAGAAAATACATTATTACCTAGTGCCGGATTATTTAACGGACATACTCATCCATATGCATTGTAATATACAAATATCTAGTTATTCTACAAGAGATTATGAAAACTATGATATTTTTAAAATTAATGTACATTATTTCTTACAATATATAAGTGAACATCTGTTCCAGTATTGAATGGAACTTAATACCACGTACACAATATTTTGAAAATAATTGATCTATTGTGACAGACATAAACACAAGACAGTCCCGCGGCAACGTTTATCAAAGGAAGGGGGGGGGGGCAGACGCAAAACTGACAAGGAAAAAACAAAAAAAAAACAAAAAACTTTGGAGGGGTAAAATGCTCCACTAAATTTTTGATTGACAGTTTTTGAATTCAATAACTTGGCATACTTTCTTCCACATAACTGCAACAAAATGTGTTTTTTTGGGGGGGGGGGGGGGGGAGAGGTACACGGCATTTGAATGCTACTATGTATATAATCTAAAATAAAAGATTATTCTTAAGAACAGAGGGAGCCCCTCCCCCACCCTAGTACTGAGGGTCAGCAAGAATTGATTATCAGGATGATTGATTACATGTTAGAATTCTATTTAGTGTCTCAACATCTCCACTATTAAGTCTCGTCCAATTTTACACAGTCAAATTAAGTAAGCATGAAAAATCTTTGAGGCACTTTTTTTTTACTTTAATATTGTTTCTTTTTAATTTTAAGCGTTAGTCCTCTCCCGTTTGAATGAATCTCGAGGCTACCATCACTTGTGCTCACTGGAGTCTGAAGTTTTATTATTAAAAAAAAAAAAACCAGAAAAAAATATTCCACCCTCTACTAAAAAACGTATTTTTAGCAATCGCATCTTTTCGGGCCTTTCCGGTAAGCTCGGAAAAACAGCTTGCCGGGATGGCCCAAGAAGATGCGATTGATTTTTATAATAGAAAGGTGGAATATTTTTTCCGGTATTTTTTTTTTGATAAAAACTTCAGACTCCTATGATATTAACTTATTTTCAATTTATATGATTAGCCGTGACTTAATTTAAACTTATCATTTCCATATAAGGAGAGAGCGTATTTAGTTTAAATAACTTATATGTCCAATTTAATAATTTTTTGTATAATACTAGTACATTAAATTTCTTGTACAATTTTTATAATGCAAATATCCTATTAATTACATACCATGGAAATGTCGAAGTAAGATGAAAGTCCCAATCAATGTTCTCTATGTATTTTGATCTCTACATGTATATTTCAACGTACTCTCAGATTTTTTCTGAGTCCAGTCAGGTTCGAGATAATGAAGTCTGACTGTAATAGGTGAATAATTAAAGGGAAATCACTTCTCTCAAAGTAGAGTAAAAATCTTCCTGCAAGATCAATAGAGCCCTGTCTTAGCACCAGAAATTCTGTCCTAGCACCAGAACCTCTTATCCAAGTGGTTATGAATTTCACAAATCTGGTAAAAACACCTTTGCTTATTCCCACATGATTTTCAAAGAGATAATGCATACTATAATACTATATGATTAATATAGCCCCATCCTAGCACTAGATCCCTGACCCTGGGCCATGAATTTCACAATTTCGGTATATAAGTGCCTTTGTTCATCATAATCATGCTCTTTGTTTGTATGCTTAATTACCAGGAGCAGAGAAGATTTTCAAGGAATTAGTGCATTTTTACTACATGTACATGATAATTGACAAATACTATTTGATCAATAAAACTCTGACCTAAAACCAGAACCTTTCATCCTGGGCCGCTTGTGAAATTCATAATTTTAGCAAAGGCACACTTGATCATCATAAGCATGCACTTTAGTTTGTCTGCAAAGTATACAGGGGGAGAGAATAAGATTTTTAAAGAATTAATGCATTTTCATCATATGGTCAATAGAGCCCAGGGCCCCGTTTTACAAAAGAACTTACGACTAGGAATAAAGTGTAATTTCTATCTTACATTAATTTTAAAATGGTTTTAATCTTTTTAAAAAGAAGTAACAACAATATTTTTATGCTAGTGATTTTTAATTGAACAATTATTTTAGGAAGATTTTTATGGTTTATGGTCTTAGTCGTAAGCTCTTTTGTAAAATGGGACATAGCCCTATCACCAGAACCTCTGACCCTGGGGTCATGAATTTTAAACTACCTTACACCAGAACCCCTGAACTAGGGGCCATGAATATCACAATTTTGGTATAGGGCTCAATACTCATTATAATCATGCTAACAGTTTGACTTGATGTCCAGGAGTACAGAAGATTTTACAAGATTGTAATTAATTTTGATGTTTTGGTCCCAACCCTTAGACCCCAAGGGGCAGGGACCAAGAAATTCACAAATTTTGCCCTCTCCCTCTTGCTCATAGATGCTATTAGAAATAAGAAAATAAGTCCATTAGACATGAAATATTTGTATTGCAACATGAAAAAAAAAACATGTTAACTGCTCTCGACAATCAAAGTGTGAAGCAAAATGATGCTATAGTAAGGACAAGGCCATTAGAAAGGTCAAGAAAATAACAAAAAGTTGAATTGCTCTCACCAATATGTACAATTATCTAAGTATATATGAAGTTTGACTAAAAAAAATTTCAGAAGTGAAGTTATAGAGGTCAGGGGAAGGTCAAAGTCATAAGGAAAGTCAAGATCAGAAATTATGACAAAATTTAACAGATCTCACCAATTAGTATTAGTTGATGAAGTTTGATGAAAACATCTTGATCAGTTTCTTCTAAACTGTGCTAATTACAAAACATTAATAGTAAGATCAAGATCATGGAAGGTCAAGGTCACAAATTTTAATGCAGTTGAATAGCTCTAATCAATATGTATCTTTGTTTGAAGTGTCATTGAACTTACATGAAAATATCCTGAACAGTTTCTTTGAAACTTACATAAAAGCGAAATAAGGAACAGTAGTGTCAAGGTCATAGGGAAGATCAAGATCAGAAAAACAAGACACAGTTGAAAAGAAGTATTATTGTAAATTATGGTTGCTCCACTCTTATCAATTTGTACCTTTGTAAGAAGTTTCATGAAAATATATTGAACATTTCTTTGAAACTGAGATAAATGCAAAATGACAATGTAATGGGGTCAACATTATAGAGAAGGTCAAAGTCAGAAAATCATGACTCAATTGAATAGTTAAGTAAAGTAACAGTGAGGTTAAGGTCATAGGGAAGGTCAAGTTCAAAACAAAGTTGAATATCTGCCATCAATACAAATTAGCATATGTGTTTTGTAATAAAATATCTCAATTATACATGTAGTTACATTGTAACTGAGCTAAACACAAAATAGAGAATGGTGATGTCAAGGTCATTGGAAGGTCAAGGTCAGAAAATTATGCCACAGTTGAGTAGCTCTCAACAATATGTATCAGTGTATGAACTTTGTTAAAATATCTTGCACAGTTTCTTTTTAACTGAGCTAAACACTTCGATGGATAGACAGACAGAAGGAAGATTGGAAGAATGGACACAACATACAAATTCATGGCAGAGCATAATAATTCAATCAGTCTAACAGTCTCAGAGAAGAAGCTGAAAATGTTTTTATGTAAACAGATGACTGATGATGACAGATGAAAACAGCAATAGGTCATCTAAATGAATAAGAACCTAATAAAAAATTACACATTTATTTTACATTGTAGGAAAACTCAGACAAGTGGATTATCAAATTTTGTAAAAGGCAAAACAGAATACTTGGTTAACAAATTTCTACCGATTTGGAAAATAAAATTCTGTAACCAATAAATGTATAATCTAAGAAAAACTACCCAATTGGACAAAATGACAGATTACCCCACCCTGGAATCAAAGAGCAGAGTATGTGTGTCAATGCCATTTCTGGTGGGAGTTTACAGTTAGTTTTTTTTCTGGACATGGAAAGATTAAACAGTACTATAGGTTGCTCTTTTCTTTCTACATACATACAGGTAATGTGATCATACTTGAATAACAACTCATTCTTTCACTACTTTAAGTTTATTTATTTTGTGAATGACATGCATGAAAATATTGTTTGATATGCTACAAATGAGAAATGAACACAGTTTTACACAATGTATCTTGAGTCTCCCCTCCACAGCTCTGTCAGGAGGAATCTTCATCTTCATCTTCTAGCTGTTCTAAGTATTCCCTGGCTTTGATTTTCCTCGGAATAATATCTGTATCAAAAGATAAGGTCATCTCATCTTGATGCTTATGATGAAATTTAGCAGAACAAAATATCCATTATAAGAAAATTTTCAACTCTAGTAAATTCAAATTTAAACTTTACTTTTCTGACAGTTTCATGAAAATAAGTTGTCATTTCCAAGGAAAACTTTTAAAATCTGTATATTAAAAAAAACCCCAAAAGATACATGCATCATCATATCATACTAGAATATACAATCTCTGAATTATGTTACCACAACTATCCAGCTCTTTTAATTACAATTATCCTTTTTAAGCACTTTTTAAAGTTGATAATCACTGAGGTTAAAAAAATGATATCTTAAAGATTGATTATCTTATTCTGAATTTATGTGTTACAAAGCATCAGTAAGATTTTTTCTATATATTAAGCAAGAACTAAATACAATAAAGGACTCTAATGTTCATTTTCTTGGAATTTATCTACACTGTTAATCCTGTAGTAACTAGTCTTGGTAGAATTAGCAATGATTAATGGAGCTTTCATTTAAACAGAAAAATTTTGAATGACATTTATATAAAGATTTAAATAGTTTTGTTTTTTTAAAATACAAATCAATAACAAAGGATCTCTCATTGAAGAGTTGTCTTTCTTTACCAGTTGATTTCATTCTTTCAATGATTTTTTTTTAATATAAGGAATGAATGTATTAGCTCTCCAATTTATGCTGTATAACTTTGGTTGGGGCAGTTAACTCTTTATAAACTATGAAGTGGTCTTGAAAAATGGCTGATTTTAAAAGTGCAACACAATCACTCCTTATGTACGTGTAATTGAGAGAAAGAGAAATTACTGTTATGTAAGTTTTATTCCCTTGGTTATATGAAGTTTTGATACCTATACCATGTCTACCATAGTAAGTCTTTAAACACCTTGCAGTTAAAGTTCATGACATCTGTTCCTTTGTGTGTCTGTAAACTTTTTTTTCTTTCAAAATACTACTCCTTCATCAGTTTTGTTCTAATTTAAATAAAACTTGTCATACAACAAGCACAATCAGTTCTGTTTTATATCAGTTTTAGAAGAAAATCTGACGAACATTGTTGCCATAGTTATTAATTTATAACAAAATTCTAAGAAATTCTTTAAAAACACTCCTACCGTTTTGGTCCCAATTTCATAAAACTTGGTACATTTGAAGAATAAACTAAGATTTATAATCCTTTAATTTTTTTTTTTTTTTTTTTTTTTTTTTTTTTTTTGTAATTTCAATTTTTTGTGTTGCAATTGTTAAAATTTTTTTTGGTGTGAAATCAAGCATTGCTAAATGAACCTTAGAAAGAATAACACGCTTTTGTGCTTTAGATCACATTTTGCTTTTAGGCAGCTTCCTCCATGGATAAATTTTCAGGTGTGGAGAACCCTGAAATTCACAATATTTTGACCTCTATTTATAAATTACCTTGAAGAAACTGCAGTACATCATCAGAATTGACAACTTCGGCTAAATCTTTGTAACTAACGTTCATCTTATCCTGGCTCTTCCCTCTCGACACATTTGTCAAATTTTTAACAAACATCTCCTGCATAAAAAAAACAGTTAAAAACAAGAAGTCTGTGAGATAATGCTCACTAGTAATATCCCCGCTCTGATGTGAATATACACTCTCATGTGAATATACACAAGTTCAGTTGTGACGGAAATTTAGTATGGACAGACCCATGGACATGATGGATAAACAAGAAGTTGACATCAGAATTATTCAAAAATGAATCCCACCATCTGGCATGCAAAAACAAAGAGTGTGCTAAAATTTCAAGCATCTGCCTTGAGTAGTTGCTGAGAAAACTGCGACGGAATTGGTACAGACAGATGCACTGATAAACAGGATGTTGACATCGAATTCATACAAAAATGAATCCTACCATAAAACATGCCAAAACAAAAAGTCTGCTAAAATTTCAAGCATCTGCAAAGAGTAGTTGCTGAGAAAAATGTGATGAAAACTTGTTATGGACAGACATACACATACAGACAGACAGACAAACACACAAGGGTAAAACAGTGCACCCCCCTCTTCTTCAGAGTGGGGGTATAAAAAATTAGTTAAAAACATAACATTTAAATTTGAGACACACTATATTCTATAAATTTACACCGAGCAAATGATTCAACTAAGTTTGATATTTGAAAAATTTAGAAATAAGATATTGAAATTCTGATATCAATTACAGGGGTTGTACATATAAGTGCATATCTTAGACTAGAGGAACTGGAGAACTACATATGTAAATTTTTGTCAATTTTAAATAAAGAGAAAGCATGTGAAAACTTGCAATAAAATATAGCTAAATCTGCTTTTTATAGTAGTATTAAGTTATTTAGGTATTTCAACCTACTTAGCTAAACATGCTAAATGTAGTGATTGTACTGGACCTACACCAGATACTAAATATTTTTAAGTCTCTGGCCTGCACCAATTCATCCTTTGACATAATGAGTTGATGATTTTTCAAAAAACAAAAAATATTACCGTTGCTTTTCCAGTCAAAAACAGAGCTTCATGACTAATGCTACCGACATCCGGTGAACTTTTCATTATTGTTCGTATTCTTGACATGGGAAGCAGACAAAGTGAGAGTCCGTGACCGTCTTTGCCAGTTTGTTTTTCCGCCATTTTATACGAGAAGTACACTAAGCCACATACTTAAAAAACTTTTCCAATGCAACAAATTTTATTCCGGAATATTTTCAGTAAAATGCACTTTTTGCCCCTCCTTATCCCAAAAAAAGACACGTATGTTTTTTTATTTTATTACAAGTGAATACGTCTTATTTGCACTTATGGGGTGGGGTATAAGGAGCAAAGATCCCGAAAATTTGTGTTTCAGAGTGGCGGATCCAGAAGTTCGACGTTCAAATCTCTTAGCACACGCGAAACCTTGTCAACACAGTAGGAACTATATGCATTTTCAATACTCTAGGAACACCAAAATGTATATTCTTTTCACTCAATTTAATAAAAAAAAAACAACTACCCTGTTAAATTAACGTAAAAATACAACAACTGTGCGTTTAACAGAAAGTTAATTTGTCATTTTTTCCTCGCAGTGTTCATTTGCGTTATTTAACTTTATATTTACATCCACTAAATATTATTCCCTTTATTTCTTATAAAAACCATTGTCGTTAATCAGTCCATAAACAACACTTAGCAAGCCACCTGCATAGATTTCTTAAGCAACGCCTGTTCCATCAATTATGCTATACAATGACATACACATTTATAATACAATATTTAACATATTTAATTTACTTTGAATGTTTTTTTTTTAACTTAAGATATATAAATATAAACAATAAATGTCTTTCTTTGTTTGTTATAATACGGGAATTAACGTCGCAGCTATTGCAGAAAAAATTCACATTACCCGCTTATGCGGCACGGCCAGGTGTGTTATACGACATCCAAAAATAAGTATTCACTGCTTAAGTACGTCCTTTGCTTTACATGTAACTTTCCTCTACACAAGGAACACTATTCAATGTATTTTTTTTCTTTAGAGGACGACCATTTGATTCGAAGGGGGGGGGGGTCGTCTCAAGCCACGGTTGAGTCCGCATATAGCTCCCTCCTACAGAATGGGAGAGGATCATACATTTTGGCTGTGGTTTGCGACGATGGGGGGGGGGGGGGGCTGGCAGATTTTGAAAATAAATAATCTGTCCTCAAAAATGTTGAAAAAAATATCCTCGACTGGCAAGAAAAATAAGTAATCCTTGACAAACCGTCATATCTGGAGCAGGGATGGGCACGATTACTGAAAAATGTAATCGATTAATAATTGATTACTTAGAGGAATTTTGTGTAATCGATTATTAATCGATTACACTCATTTTTAACCTGTAATCGATTACTTTGGAAGATGTAATCGATTAATAATCGATTACTTCCAAGTTTTCCCCCTTCAAATATCAAAGCAATATTTAAATGGTAAATGGTATCCACTAAAGTTTGAATGTGTTCCTTTTTAAGGTTTTATTCTGGGCAGGCTAACATTCTCACTAAATGCCCAAATGAGGGATTCCCTACTATGAAAAGTGGAGAAATAATTCCTACAATAAAATATGCCAAGGAATTAATTATTCCTTTCAACCTTGGATCTGAACCTCCGTATTTATTGACTTGTTGCAAAAAATTATTTAATATTTTATTGTGAATTACTTCATTAGAAGTATTTGGGCTGCCCGTATGTTGACAGTACACATTAAACACCCTGTCTTTTTAAAAAAAATGAGTAAATTAGAACTCAAATTAGTAATAAACATGTAAATTAATAAATGTGTCTTTAAGTAATGAAACAAATAGCACAATTTTATTCTGTATTGAAATAAGTGTTTTGAGAGCTATTCATTGTTTTAATAATATTGTTTGTCTTCAATGGAATAAAAGTTAAACACTAGGTAGTTCACCGTTTATACCTCATTATCTGCAAATCAGGGATGTCTCAGTCAATTAATTAGCCAATTGAGATAAGCAAACACAGTGACACACTCCCTCTCTTACAGACACTTATGACCTATCACTAATATCAAGTTTGAAGTTGTTTAAACATTTTCAGATATGAATAAGTATTTCCATCTTCTTCTTTTATTTTGAGTACAATGTAGTTTATTTACCAAATTATTTATATTTAATACAGCACTTAAATCTGTTTTTGCTATTTATAATTTTCTATTACAAGACAAAGTTTTTCAATATCTGAAATATGAAAAAGGACATGCAGCAAGAGGACAGTGGGTCAAATGTAAAATGCACACGAAAAATCTGTATATTTTATTAATAAATGGTTGAAGTACACTTCTGAATTATTTAATACTAGGCCAGTAGGTCTATCATGCAAAATTTATTGAGAACATTATTTAACTTATGATAATAAAAGTTAGGAAATCCCAACATTACACTAGGTGGTTTATATTTGATATTTATGTGTGACTGACTGGAAATAATTCTCCAAAATAACATCCATTTATGTATAAAATAATCGAAAGTAATCGAAAAAGTAATTATAATTACATTGAAAATTTTAGCTGTAATCGATTAAATTACGATTACAAGTAATCGAAAATCTCTTCGATTACAGATTACTGTCGATTACTTGAAAAAAAGTAATCATTACAATCGATTACGATTACTCGATTACGATTACCCCATCCCTGATCTGGAGGGACTACTTTTCCAAATAATAAAGTCAGACGGTCTGATTGGATTGTCAAAATATTGTATTACACTGTAAGCAATATTTCAATTCAACAAAAGTTTGTCCATGTAGTTCAATAACGTTAAAACAATTATCAGATAAAGTGCTCGGGAGAATATTAATTACTTTAAAGCAATACCAAAACAATGCTGTAGCTGTGCAGTTTTGTTTGGTTGTTTGTTTATGACCTTGTGTCACCACAAGCTGCACGACGGATCATATCACCCTCTAAACCTATATGGGACTTCCTGTTACGTGCTGGCTTTATATTTTTATCTTACAACGAGGGGGGGGGGGGAGCGGAACTAGGGTTCCCGACCCCCCAAATCCCCCTAAATCCCCCATGCACTGTTTTTAAAAGCTGCTTTAAAAAGCATTAGTATATTTATATCATGTAAAACCTCAACGAGTTTGTTTTTTTTTCTTTAATTAAAAACGAAAAAAAAAAGAATATTAACTGTGCATTTGTACATGTATGTATACATATACTTTTGAAAAAAAATGAAGGTATAGGCCGGGGCGTGCATTAATGTATAACCGTGCAACTCAATGTAAAAACTAAAGAAAGGATAGTGAAAAGGATGAAGATTTAATAACAAACAGTGATCGGTCTAAAAAAAAAAAAAAAAAAAAAAAAAAAAAAAGCCTACAAACTATACCAGTCTGTGAACAGGGCATAAAATACGGATTCCTGGAAACTCCAGAGGTGGAATCACTGAGGTGCCCAGGAGGAGTAAGCATCCCCTGTTGACCGGTCACACCCGCCGTGAGTCCTGTGTATTGATCAGGTGCCCAGGAGGAGTAAGCATCTCCTGCCGACCGGTCACACCCGCCGTGAGTCCTGTGTATTGATCAGGTGCCCAGGAGGAGTAAGCATCTCCTGCCGACCGGTCACACCCGCCGTGAGTCCTGTGTATTGATCAGGTACCCAGGAGGAGTAAGCATCCCCTGTTGACCGGTCACACCCGCCGTGAGTCCTGTGTATTGAAAGGTAGACGGAATAATCCGTAGACAAATTAATTAGTATAAAAACAAAGGCTTAATAGGTATGAAATATGTCAGTAAAAATACGACCCAGTGTTAGGCTGTATTTGCTTACAAGATCATTATAACGACTTAAGAATTTACGAAAAGCTGACGTTAAACGAGGTTATTGAAATCCCTGTAACATCAACTTATCTGTCAGTAGCCTGCCTCAGTTTAAAAATCGATCGTACTCAGAGCATGCTCTTGATATCGAATAAGTTGGAGACACACATATAATTATAAATATATATACCATATGCAATTGATAGTGGTATATTACTACGCAGTACAGTTAAGGTGCCAAATGGAAATATCGGCGAATTTTTTAGATAGAAAACAAATTCTTTACAAGGATGGGCGTTTCTTTTTAGGACTTTACTATTATCGGACAAATGCAATGTGGTTGAAAACTACCTGCTGAGGACAATTAGATTTCTTATTTAGACTTGTCACGTGATTTTAGCAAATATACCTGAAGTATTGAGGTCATCTATAAATTCTAATATTGCAAGGGCATATCCAAGTTAAACATCTAAGTTTAACATATAATTATTTTCAACACTCTTTGTAGTTTGTGAAAAGTGCTGCGAACCTATATAGATTCTACTATCTAATTGCTAAAATTACATTTGTTAGACCGTATGTTGAATATTTTGCTGGTCAAGTACATTAAATATAGATATAATTAATTCATTTGCAAGATTTCAACAGGTTCGCAGCACTTTTCAAATATCTTCATACCTCTTGAGTTTATGTGTAAAAGCTTGTCCTAATTCATTGAGGGTATGCCCTTGCAATATATCGATTTATTACGACCCTTCTATTACCCTTCAATGAATCTGCATACAAATATACGACAGTATCGCTTGTCTAGGGAATGTACGGGAAGTATATGAATAAAATCATAAAATAGACATCGCATCCAAGTTAATGGCCTCTTATATATCTACCATTTATATTCTATTTAATTACAAAATACATTTTTCATAAATATAACTTGATCCGCCTCTCACTGCATACAAACTGCGTCAAATTTTACAATATGACGTCACATTGACAAGTGCATTGCGATCAGTGAATTGTTTATATATTGCTGTGTGGGATTTAATCAACGACAATAATGCATGCACTAGTTAGTATTGATGTAGTTTAAAGCTAATCAACAGTTTAAAATAGCAAATCATTTCATTTTGTGGTAATTTGAAGAACTTATATTTTTGTGTGATGTCATAGTAAGCATTTCCCGTATAAATTAGGCCCCGCCTCCTTACTGCAGCCTTAACTGTGCTGCGTACATTAATAATGAAAGTTGACTATGGAAAAGCTGATTCAGAAGTCATCACATCTTGTTACACAGTATAGTTAGTTGGCCATTACCGTCTATAGTCAGTAAAAC